GGGCAGGCAATTATTTTGGGTGGAGGGCTGCTTACCCAGTTTTGGTAAGCTGTTGAGGGCTGCATGGGTAGCTCTGCCCCTTGACAGGTGCCCTGCCCCCTGGTCACCATCTTGGGACCAGTGTCCCAATATCTTGGGACCAGTGTCCCAGGACCAGCACTGGTGGGGCCCAGAGTGGGGCACAGGCTGGCAGGGGTCTGCGGAGCCGGGCTGGGCTGCACCAGCAGGGAGAGAGGGGAGCTGGCCCGGCTCCATAGAGTCCCTGCCAGCTGGGACCCTGTATCCCTGCTGCCCTGCTCTGGACCATGCTGGTGCTGGCCCCGGACACTGGTTCTGCTCACTCCCAGTGTCCTCCAGCCTCATGGTACAGGTGGAGGGCAGTGCACAGCTCCGACCCCCTGCTTGCTGGCAGGGAATGAGCTAGTGCTGAGCATGGGGAAAAGCAGCCCCTCCCCCAGCCCATGGCCAGGGCCCCATGCTGCAGCCACTTGCAGCCGGCGTGGGGCTTCCTGAGCAGGCACAGGCAGACCCACATGGGCTGCGAGTGGCTGCAGCGCAGGGTGCTGGCCATGGGGCTGCTCCCCCGCCCAGTCAGCACCAGCTTATAACCCACCCCCGCTACCAGCCTGGGCCCCGTGCTGGCTCTGGGCTTGCCCGTCAGGGCTGTTCTGTAGTGGCAGCAGCTGTGGGCCCCCCACTTGCCGCACTGGGCAGTATTTGCTGCTGCTGGCCGCCTGGACCTTGTGCACTGGGCAGCCCAGAGGCGGTGGTAACAAACACTGCCCAGCGTAGCAAGCGGGGGGCCACAGCTGCTGCTGTCATGGAGCAGCCCTGACAGGCAAGCCCAGAGCTGACACAGGGCCCAGGCTGGCAGCAGGGGTGGGTTACAAGCTGGTGCAGAGCAGGGGAAAAGTACTGCAGCCACTCACAGCCCGCATTGGGTTGCTTTTGCCTGCTCAGGACAGCCCCACGCGGGTTGCAGCAGGGAGCACCAGCCACGGGGTGGGGGAGGGGCCTCTTTTCCCCGCGCTCCTTCCCTTTCCACAGTCCTCCCCTGCCCTTCTCTCCCCCTTACCTGAGGTTCTGGTGCTGGTGCAGCCACATGGTCCCAGACCAGAAGCCCCTGTTGGGGCTTCCACTTGAGGGGGGGGGTGTGTGGGATTGGGTGGGCCCTGCTGTTGCGGGAACCCACCAGACTTTCCCTGGGTCTTACTGTTCCTGGTTCCTGTCATTGTAGACAGGATCCAAAGACAGATCAATATTTTCTAAATTTTTTAGGGGCCCTGTGGGCCAGATAGAATGGCCTTACGGGATGGATTCAGCCCGCGGGCCAGATTTTGCCCACCGCAGTCTATACCTAGTCTTGGTATTTACTGTTGTCAAAATGAGTTATTCCCCTTACTCAGTTTTACACACCAAACTCCATATAGCTGTGAATGTGGTTGCTGCTAAATGGTGCTCAGTTCCCTAGTAATATTTCTTTTCGGAAGTGCTGTGGCCAGGGATGGTTTCTACAGGCAGGTGTTATCTCTGATTTTTAGATGCTTCTTAGGTTCATCTTTTTGGCCTTGATGTCTTGTTATATAAATTGAGAGAAGCAAGGATTTATTTGGGTTATCTCTTATATTGAACCAATGGCATAGCTGGGATTGTTAGACAAGCTTTTGAACGCAAGACAGTTCTTCAGAATACCTCAGACCTGAAGAAGTGTTTTGCATTGAAAAGCTTGTCCAGCTCTATCCCAGCTATGCAGTTAATCCAATGCAAGATACCGCTTCAAGAAATCCTTGCCTCTTGCATAATTCCTGAACTACCATGGCTACAACATCACTCTAACACTACTGGAAATTCTGTACTAACAGACTGAATAAACATTTTGGGCAGTACTATATATCAGAGGTTGGCAAGGTACAGTTGGATCATTCTGACCTACTGCTAGAAAATGTTGCTGACCACTGCTGTAGGCAATAAATTTTTGTCTGTCCTATTCACAGCACTGTACAGCATCTGATTTTTGTGACCCTGGGATGCTTCTTCAGACTCATAACTCCTTGTTGTAAGGGTTTGGCATCTGTTCTTCCTAGATTCTTAAACTAGGGGAAGAACAAACATAATTTCCTTAGAAAAATATTGGCTTTAGCCACACTCAGAGGTTCAAGAATTGTTCAGAATCACCTTCACACTTCTTAGCAGTGATAAATATTCAAAAGAGCTAGTTCTTTTGTGTTTTTGATACAGTGATCTCCATTAGGGGATGAAATTAATAAATAAAGGTTTTTGTTTCTGCTCATGAGCCCGTATCTTTCTGGATAAGGCTAACAGGAATTTGACTATGCTGACAATGAATGCTAAACCTGTCAAGTCATTTAAATACTGATTCCATGACTGGCCGTGGACAAATGGGCTAATGTAACCAACCATGTGCCCAGCTGTCTAGCATATTCGAAACAGAATTGAAGATTTGAAAGCCACCCACTGTTAAAAGGCATGTAATTAGTTAGGACAGTGTTTCCTAACCAGTGTGCCATGGCTCACTGGTGTGCTGTCAGGCATATCCAGGTGTGCTGTGGCATTTTGGGCTGGAGCCACACCCCCCACCTGCTGCTGCTGTGGGCAGGCAGACAGATGGGGTAGAGGGCACAGCTTCAACCAGTGATTCAAACACTGTGCCACCTGCTTCCTGGCGCTCTGCGGAGTTCCACCTCTCGCTACCCCCCCTTCCCAGTCTGCGGTGTTCAGCCACTCACCACTCCCCCTTCCCCACAGTCTGCGGCATTTGGCAACTCACCATCTGCCCCCAGTCTCCAGCTTTTGGCTGCAGGCTACCCTGCCCTGTTCTGTGGGAGGTGTGCCGTGGGGTGGGAGAGGCCATGTAACTGTGCCACAGGTGAAAAAGGTTGGGAAACGCTGAGTTCGGAAACTGTGAAGCACTGGGGTGCACTCAACCTTCAGGGCTGTCCTTCAGCTCTAAACCTAGCTCTGCTGTTTGACCACTGAGAACAAGCTGAAATATGCCAGGGGTCAGCTCCTTCCAGGATACCTCAGCTTCACCTAGTTCTCTTGGGCCCTTCAGTTCTTAACAGAAGAGGTTTTGTTAGTTAAAGGATTTCACCTTTCTGTCCAGCTGTGCTAGAAATTTGAGATTCCCTTCTTTGCAGAAAGGGCCTCCTGAATTGCCAAATGCTCTGAAATCACTGACAATAATTTATAAGAATTAGCAAAAAGGTTTATTCCAAAAACAAATTAATCCATAAGAATCAGTAACCATATGTTGAGATACAGATAGCACTATGAAACAAAACAGAAACACTGTGTATAATCTTATTTTTGCATCTTTAGTTTAAAAATGCAGATTCCACTTCTGACCAAGCCAAAATCCCTGCCAAATGGTCAGCTTGCATTACTCAGCTAGCCCACTGGGCACTAGAAGTATGAAAGCTGACAGACGGTGCTGCTCCCTAGTCTAACTCATGATGCTTCACAGAAAGGTCATGAGTTAGATTAACCCTACTGGTATAACAATCACTGTTATTGTTTCTGTCAGTTTCCTACTTGGGTACTGGGCTGTTTCTGTTCTTTAATATGCTTTAGCATAGGTGGTCCAAATTAGATGACTTTTCACTTGATTATTTTGTTCAGAGCCAGCATTATAGCTGAGAAAAGGAAGGCAGGATATAATTATCAACACTGAAATGCAAATCTGATGGAATAGAAATGTGGGGGAAAACAAATTTTGCAAAATAGGCAACTTCTATACTGATTTTAATTACAGGAAGGAGATTTTTAAGGCTCCAAGGTATTTCCATATACATACTTATTCTTTTGGTTATACAAGTTAAATTGCTGTTATTCAATTTAGGAAATACTAAGCTACCTCACCAGATGATAATTTTCTCTTGTGTTTCTCTTCTCAAAGGCTCTTGTGTTTCTTTTCCTTATTATAATGCTTTTTGATTATAATAAACCTTAAAATTAACTCTTGAAGGATTAACTTCTTATAATTCCTTTACTTGCACGTGTTGGAACTCCCCCTCAGAATGAATGAAAGAGAACACTATGGGAGTTAATGCAACAATGCTTGTGGTTTTAGGGATGCAGTGATTAATGTCATTGTCCACTTTCCTATATTAGGATGTTGCTTTTTAAAGCCTTATACACTTCCCAGTACTAGTTGAGTTCATAAAGACTATGACCTGTTGAGAAAAGCAGGCTGTCTAACTTCTAAATGCGTTGGGGCTGCATGCCTACAGGCTTGCTAGTGGGGGCCACACACCATGGAGACACCACTGCAAGCCATGGCCTGTCCACTCCCCACCTTTCCCCTTGCTATGTGGTGCCATATGGGTGTCCCAGGTCATGGGTTCCTCTGGCACTGTGAGCTGTGCCACCCCATCTTAACCCCTAGAGTATGAGCAGGAAGCAAAAGCCAGAGGAGGCAGGGAAGCCAAGAGCCCCTGGGTGTGCCAAAGCAACGGAGAATGAGCAGTAGCCAGGTAGGAGATTGAAGGCTTCAGATTAATCCTTTGTGGGCTGCACATGGCCCAAAGGCCTCTAGTTGAGCAACCCTGATACAGAGTGGTACATTATTACCAATGCTCATTATTACCTGAGCATCAAGTTGGCTTACAAGAAGACATTTTTACACACTTTCTGGGAAAAGACTCTAGTTTACATGTGACTGCTATCTTCTCAGAAATTATGAATTTACTGGACTGTTTTAATATTTTCCCACCCTAGCTTTATTAGGCTTTTAAGATGTTAAAACTTAGCTCACTAAAATGTCTTGTAAATTAATTGTGTATAAATGTGCTAGTTGTCCTGTACAGTTTGTAACACTTGTATCTGTTTGTGCTAATTGGTCTTTATGTAGTGAAACCATTTTTAGAGTTTCTGTGCCTGTTAGTCTCAGCCATAGTTTTGTTTATGTGCTATATAGTGGTGGTTCATGTCTGTCTTTTTTTTTTCTTCTTCTTCTTTCTCCCTTGCCTTTTGACCTCCAGGTACACTTGGAGCTAGATATCGGTTCTGTGGCCTTGAAAACTCAACAGGATTTTAATTCACTTAAAATGAGCAATGCCAAGAGATACGAAGTTGTTAAGGAGATTCTGACATTACTTGGCCTGAGTTGTGAATTAAGTGAAGTTCCTTCATTAACTCCTATTTATCTGTTCTCTCATGAGAAGGTGAGTCTGTAACTTAGACTAATGTTCTGAATATCTATGGTTTAAGTGGCAAGTTCATTGCTTTTACTTTGCCATATGTTGTTGCATTTTTTTTTAAATTTCTGTTAGAAAAGAATAAAATAATCAATTCCTGCTCAGTTATGATTTTTCAGGCACTGAATTAAGTTTTGAGTTTCACAATGGGCAAACTGTGACAATTAAACTCTTTGGAGTCATTAGGTTTTTTGACTTATTGCTGCTGGAATGTCAGAAATCAAGTCAGCAGGACCGGATGTACTTCATCTGAGAGTGCTGAAGGAACTGGCCAGACATTGTGGAACCCTGTGCAAAACTCTTCCACAATTCGTGGCACTCTGGAGAGGTCTCTGAGGACTGGAAGAGGGCCAATGTCATGCCTATCCACAAGAAGGGGAGAAGGGAGGATCTGGGTACCTATAGGCCAGTTAGCCTAACTTCTGTCCCAGGGAAAATCCTGGAAAAGTTCACCAAGGAGTCTATCTGTGATAAGCTTGCAAAAGGTAGGATTCTGAACAGCAGCCAGCATGGCTTCATTATAGGTAGGTTTTACCTTACCAACCTCATCTCCTTTTATGACCACATAACTCGCCACTTGGACAAGAGAGAGGAGGTTGACATTGTATGCCTTGACTTCCAAAAAGGTTTTGATCTGGTATCCCACAATGTCCTCATGAAGAAATTGGAGGATTGTGGGCTTAACTCCAAGACAGTCAGGTGGGTAGGAAACTGGCTTCAGGGTAGGACACAGAGATTCCTAATGAACAGATCTGTGTTGTCCTGGCGAGAAGTGACCAGCAGTGTCCCACAGGGGTCGGTGCTTGGTCTAGTAATTTTCAACATCTTTATCAATGATTTAGATGTTGGGGGTGAAAAGCTCACTGGCCAAGTTTGTGGACAACACCAAGTTGTGGGGGAGTGTGCTTATGCTTGAAGATAGGCTACAGATACAGGCAGACCTAGACAGGCTGGCAAGTCGGGTGGATTGGAACCAGATGAAGTTCAACATCAAAAAATGTAAAGTGCTCCACCTGGGGACGAACAACCCCCTGCACACCTACAGGCTTGGCGGCACCAAACTGACCAGCAGCACAAATGAAAAGGACCTGAGGGTAATAACAGACCACAGTATGACTATGAGCCAGTAGTGCGATGCTGTAGTCAGTAGGGCAAATAATACTCTGGCATGCATCAATCGATGCAACTCCAGGAAAACCAAGGAAGTGATTCTTCCACTCTACTCAGCACTGGTGAGACCACAGCTGGAGTACTGCATCTAGTTCTGGGTGGCACACTTTAACAAGGATGTGGATAAGCTTGAGAGAGTCCAGAGAAGAGTCACCTGTATGATCAGAGACTTGCATGGCAAGCCATACAAGGAAAGGCTGAGGGATCTGGGACTCTTCAGCCTGAAAAAGAGAAGGCTGAAAGGGGACTTGGTAGCAACTTACCGCTATACTAGGGGAGTACATCAAAGGCTTGGTAAACAGCTGTTTGCCAGGGCACCCGTGGAGAAAATGAGGAATAATGGCTGCAAACTCCTGGAAGACCGTTTCAGACTCAACATTAGGAAAAACTTCTTTGCAGTTAGGGTGTCCAGACTGTGGAATAAGCTCCGTCCAGAGGTGGTGCAATCACCTACTCTGGAAATCTTCAAGAGGAGACTGGACGGTCACCTTGCTGGGGTCGCTTGACCCCACCTGTCTTTCCTGTCTGATGCAGGGGGCTAGACCCAATGATCTTCTGAGGTCTCTTCCAGCTATACAATTTGTGAATCTATGAATCAAACTGCTCTTCCAACTATACAGTTGTTCCAATAAAATACATCACCAAAAACCCTTACCTCTCTTACATTTCCTGGACCATCTCAGCTGTAAAACCATAATTCCACTATCTCTAGTGAGAAAAGGTAGAGTTCCATATGTATGCATAACACAAGTTATAAATGTATCCTAATTTATGGATCGCTGAGTGGAAAGTCAAGTAGTAAAGGACCAGAGTGGACTGAGGAGGTCATGTGAAGAGTATGTTGTCAAAACACGAAATAATGACTTCATGCTTGACAATTCTTTTAATATTTACATTGGAAATTAACTAGGAAACCTGTGAAGGTACTAGAAGATGACTTGGTTTTATAGGGAACATAGTCTCTCTATCTTCCTGGTGGTATGTAATTGAGAGCTTTATTATGAATGTGTCTGATTCTGAAGAATCTGTGAAAAAAACCCAAAAAAACGAGAATGTCATGATTCTGTCTCAGTATCATCCAGATTAAACACCAGAAACTATAGGTATATTAGAATACTATTGGCTTCTGGCATATGGTACAGTTAAGACATGATTAAACAGTTAATCACATCATAAATAGCAACCTGGCAACATGTTCATGCAATTAATGGTGCAGTAAATCAGGGAATAAGTTGCTACACAAAATATGTGTATTAACTTTGTGGCTGGTTCCCATTGCTCCTTAAACTGAAAATGCAGCCAGGCTGATCAGCTCATCATTGCTTCCAGCCCTTCATTCTGATGGACTCCCAACAGGGTTACCAACTGTCAGTTAAAAATATCAGGCTAAAATGGCTGTCAGTATAATTGTTTAAAAATGTCACTGTCATAGTTTCATAGTTTCATAGATTAAGGGTCGGAAGGGACCTAGTAGATCTTCTAGCCCGACCCCCCGCCAGGGTGGGAGAACACCAAAACCCCAAAAACAAGAAACGGGACTCAAATGAGTCCAGCCAGGTAGGCATCCAGCCTCTTCTTAAAGACCCCCAGGGTAGGGGCCAGCACCACTTCCCTTGGAAGTTGGTTCCAGCTCCTAGCCGCCCTAACTGTGAAGTAGTTCTTGCGGATGTCCAATCTATACCTCCTCTCCATCAACTTGTGCCCATTA